CTGCTAGACCAGGTCAGCTGCGTCCAGCAGAGCCGTTCCTGTGTTACAGGCTGTCTCCAGCAGGGGTCACTGTGGCAGCATCTAAGGGAGCTTCCCTAAAGCTGGGCTCTGATTGAACGTCATGTTTCTGTCTTTGTGCTTCAGTATGATTACAGTTTCCGCACGGAGCACAGCGCAGCGGCTCGCCTTCCCCCCAGCCCCACACGGACCTCCCTGAGCTCCGAAGCCTGACGCTCCTCTTCCTGAACCGCCCTGTTGGTAGGGAACACCCACAGGAGAGACCTGCACACAACTACTGAGTACCTGGCCCCCACGGCGTGAAGAAGGTCCGAGTCCAGCTGGAGCTGCTGTTCCCTTCATACGCAGGGCAGAGCGGATCCAGGGGGGGGCCACAGCAGCTCTGCTCCTTCTAAACCAGCCGCCGCTCTCAATCAACACTCCAGCAGGAAGTTCACCTTCTCCGTCTCTAAAGGGAAACTGCTTCTCTTCTTCTTACTGTAGTAAAGTGACTGGACTATAAGTGCACTTTGTGTTTGGGACATGCTCAGTGTGCCTCCTGTTTGCCTTCCATGTCCTGTAACCACTTCTCCGTGTTTCTGCGTGAGCCGGCGTCACCAACAGCTCCCACCACTAAGCTCCAAGCGAACCGCCGTAACGCCTCCATTCATCAGCTGGAGGAGAAAACGAGGCGTTAGCTCCATTACTCATCATTTTACTGAAGGTTTCACTGATGACATCATTTCCTCAGTCAGTTTCAGCCACCAGGGAAAGTTACAAGAATTCTAAAACACAGTTTAGTTCAACTTCTGATGACGTTACAGGAGGGTTAAAGGTCAAAGTTCACGGCTTGGCTCTGATTAGCTGCTAGCATCATGAGCAGGTAGCCGTTGTTTTTACTGTCCTGCCTCAGTGAGAAATGTTACACCATCCTTTCTAAAACTTTTGGTCCAATCGTCTATTTATACTTTTGATTTTGATGCTGGAGCTTTCAGCCCAGTTCTCCCAGTCTGATCCGTACCAGTGAGTGACTGGTCAACATGTGTTTACTCTGTGGTTTCATGCATTTCACCTCCTGCTAGCCCCACCCTTTTTATCTTGTTTAACCACTTATTAATTGTTGCAGCTCTACGTATTGCAGTATTGTCGGGTCACTGCTGCAGCGGTTTAGCTAGACTCGGTTTTAACCATTTCACTTTGGTGATTCTACTTTAAACTGTTTTAACATAGAGAAACACTCGTTGCACTGTTGATGAGATCACCAGAGGAAAGCATCCCTGTGCTAATGCTAAGCTAACCCTGTGTGTTTATTTAGTGTTCGTTTTAGCTCCGCCTGTAGCTCACTAACTGCAGCTAATCCTGTTTCCAAAGTGTTAGTCTGCCTGCATGAGGAAACGCTTCAGTAAAAGGATTTAGGATATTTTAGGGGAAAATATTCACAAACAGATTTTTATTCTTTAAAAGTATAAATCACATGTAGTGGAACCTGTGTTATAAGGATGTTAATTAAACTGTGATGAACAAGTCGAATCGTCCTGATTTCCTTTTTATTACCGATGCTTAAAAAAAATAATAAAACTTATAAATAATCAAAACAGATTTTATTTATAAATTATATTTGTTAAAACATCAGTCCCACATTTCAGAGCTCAGCAGCATCACTGGTCAGTGAGCTTTGTCCATCATTCAATTCTATTCAGTTTATTTCTATAGCTCCAATTCCCATCATGTCATCTCAGGTCACTTTCCAGTTCACCAGATCATCCAGTCAGATTGATTCAAAGTTTTCTATCTAAGGAAAACCAGCTGATTGC